TAATGAGACAGCTGAGTGAAGGGGAGGACTTGAGTTTGGCGTTGTGGTGTGTGGACGACCGCCTGCTTTTCAAGTAAGAGTGCAACAAGCGGGGATGAGGGACCAGAGGGACCAGCCAGGGAAACAGGTTTTGTCACCAGTCTCTCCTACATAGACTACCTATAGCTCGTTCTAATGCAGAATCAGATGATTGCGCATGAGCTTACACTAGCAAAACCAAATGCTCCTCTGCTATGTTTCTATGTGGCACGGGAATCTCGATCATCCCATGGTGACCACTACTTGATAGCTCAAGCTAGCTCAAGTCATCGCAAAGTTATAACGTGATCCTAGCTACAAGGTTCAGGGGTTTCGTGCCTCACAGGCTATGTCAATCTATCACCGTACATTGATAAGTGGAAGGGATGTTCGGCGAACTGGCGGAGTCCCTTCACCTTGTGCGATCGTTTGAAGGAGCAAACACTTTTCTCTCTACATATTGGCCTGCAGCTTCCTCGTGAGCAAGAAGGCTCATTCCAAAAGTAACAGCATGCCCAAGCATACAATCGTCAGTCCGTCATACGAATCCGATAGCGCACTACTATGTGCTACAAACACCATGTAGTTGGTTCAGTTTGGGGTCCAAGAATTGTAGACGGGCACTACGGCTATATAAGATTTGTGAAATGGAACATCACCATTGTGCCAGTCCGAGGTCGAGAATCGAGAGTACAACAGAGTTGCAAGAATTTTGACCCAGCTTGATATACAAAATTCGCCATCTGGAATGAGCATCCAACCGGGGATGTCCCAAATATATGCACCCCTCTGCACCCAATGACCTTCTTCTGACAGCTTCTAGCCATCAGGAGCCAATGGGTCTTGACAAGGTTTCAACTGAAGAGTACATAGTACACCAGCCTGGCTAGGCCGTCGGACACGTTGTTTTCTGCACTCATCTACTCTGAGCTGACCCTGGTACCATCTCAGCGCTAGTATTGAGGGCACAGGTATAGGATCAATGGGGACCCAGGCGTGCGGTCAGCTTGTTGCGAGTCTGCGGCTCAAAGCCAAGTCAAAATCTTCAGCTTGTGAACCGAGGAGGACTTACAGCTCTCCAGGGAGCATGCTAGATGCACTTAGAAGTAACTATATCTTGAAGAATGCATTGCAAGACGTAGTTGAGGAACACCCCACCTTGAATGCTATTATCAAGGACAGCTTGAGAAGTATGGGCATAAATAAGATAAGAGAGAAGAGCTTCAAATTCTAAAAGACAATTGTTGTGAGCCCCGTGGAATGGGGTACAGCAGAACAATTCATGACACAATGATCAAGGCGAATGTGAAGGAACAAGAGCCAATGATGTACTGCGATGCGAGACAGCTATAAGACCGCCGTGTGGTGGTGGATTTCGAAATGCGTCCGAATTTCCGCATAGCCGATGGGGATTGACTGATGGTTTTTAACTCATGGATTGATGACTAACCTGCTGTCCCCTTGGACATGCAATCGGGTATCATGAAGAGAAAGCACGTGCTCGGATCATTCGGCGAGCGGTTGAGCACTCGGTCACAGGTTCATGGCTGATGAGAAGATCTAGAAGAAGAAGACCTTAGCAAAAGCAATCGAGTCAGTACCAGTTCCAAGCCGCCGGAAGAAACAGGTTTTTAGACACGGGTAGATAAATAGAATGAGAAGAATAGAGAGAAAAAAAAGGGGGGGGGGGGGGGGGTTTGCTCAGGTACTATCTAGCGATCCAATGGTTAATCAGCATCGTTGACAAGAATTGTTTTTGATTTCAAGTTCAACTAAGCTGTCCCTATCTAGGATGGAAATCATCACCGCAAAAAAAAAAACACCTTTCTGGTTGGGAAAGAGAAAGAGAAGGGTTGGGGGAAGCGTTTGTTTACCTGTGTCTTGAACACCTGAGTCTCAGCGCGAAAAAAAAAGGTGTTTTCGGTGGCATGAAACACTGCTGGGTGTTGTGGTTAATCGTTTGTTGGAGTCATTTTCACATCCTGGGTTCGGGTGCAGAGGGTTCCTACGCGAAAAGGGCGACAAGCACTCGGGAAGTGGGATGGGGATGGGTGGCTGGGGACGGGTGGAACGCTCACGATACCGGACCGGCGAGTTACTTATGGAAAACGAAATCCGGGTGGAGTTGTGGGTGTGGGATTGCTTTGTCTCTCTGCGGCTACGGCCGCGCTCCGCGAGCAGGAAGGAAATTACTCTCCGGCCCACCTGCCGGATACCCCGCCTGCCCAGGTATATGATCCGGGTCCGAGACCTATGCCGGGGCAGGACAGGACCGGCTGTGTGCAGTGCATGGACCCACTGACTTCATCTTTGTGCTCAACTGCGCCTCAACTTCAAACGGCATCGTCCTACACAACTTAAATATTTATTCAACTGGCTCATCCTCATCCCACTCGACACACATAAACTATCCATCAGATAAATATTATACTTTCGGTGCCCTCCTCATTCCTAATACCCTCGACATCCCGCCCGCCCTTTCCCAGAGGAAACGTTTCAACTCATAACGAATCACGCTACGACATAACCACCCGTTGGATTCCGTTCTACTCAAGCGGCCACTTCCTAGGTGTGTTCGGAACCTGGGGTGCATTGAATTGGCGGTGAGTTTAAGTGGCTTATCTTGCTCGAGTTATTACCGATCCGGGGAAAGCTGCGTGCCGTCGCTGATGATATATGCAACTCGACTGGCTTACCTAGCATATACTCCGGCCGAATCACGTTCCGTTGAAGATCAATCAGCAACATCTCCTTACCAAGCCTCACTCAGCTCTCTCTCTCTCTCTCTCTCTACTCGAACCTACTTCAACCCCCGACCATGTTCCCCGTCAGCCTCAAGTCATTCTCGACCGGCCTGGCAGTCGTGTTCTTATCAACAGCCGTCCTGAGCCAAGAACGGAACCTGTCATTTCCTACGACGACGAGCAGTCCAGCCACCAACCCCGTTCAGACATCCCTACCCGCCGGCAACAATAATAATCCAACCAACTCTTCAACCACCCCAACCACCAATGGTGCTACCACTACCAACAACAACAACAACAGCACACAAGCCACCAATAGTAATAATAGCACCATCCATTCAAACACCACAGCGCCTGTCAAACTCACTCCGATTCCTGACTCTACCGGCTCTGCTGGTAGTGTGCCTTTCCCTGCCTCCACCGGTGGAAAGCCTAATGGCCGATACGGACCAGACGATCAGTACATCGCTTCTAGTGTTGTCAAAATCATCGCTCCAACCCTCCTGACGTTGATCATCATGTCATCTACAGTGGCCATCTTGAGCTACGGAGCTCTCCTTTAGCACTTCCTTTCGCCCCCCACTGTATCTTTTGAATTATTTATTCTCCGCGCATTTATCTACTTTCTTTGATCATTCATCTCTCCCCCCCCCTTCACTTTCATTTTATCACCCAATTTTCTGATTTCTTCTTCGTTGTAATTCAAAGCAACCTTGCTTCTCCTCATTTGCCTTGGTTACTGATTCATGCTCCTTAAAAGTATTATCTTGTACTGTTACTCTGGCTTACATACTTAAATAGATGGAATCGGAAGATTGGTCAACTTAGTTCTTCAAAAAAATCACCCCCCTTTTTTTATTTTATCGATTTTTAATGGACATCACCAACTCGTTTCTTCAACTTTGCAGATCCAATACAAACATCTCAAGATAATATTAATTACTTCCAATTTCAAACATTTAATCTGTGCATTAAAACCTGCCTTTTTGATCAGAAAGAATATTTGCACAAGCTGATAAAGCAAAGTGATTATGCAAAAAAGTAACAGTGATCTGATCAAATTTACATCCAAATGTGTTACCTATCCCAACACTTCCTGATCATAGACTGAGTCAGATGTATTCCACCTGAGCAATACCAAGCTTGATATAGCCAGCTTAAAACAAACAAGAGCAGACTTAAGTGGTCACAGCCAAAAAAAAAAAAAAAAAAAAAAAAAAAACAGCTTGCCCCTGAATGAAGTGAATGAAACACTCAGGACAGATGCCAGTTTTCCAGATATGCAGACTTGTCTGTTACACAACTTACTGAAAAGGCATGTAGTTTTTTACTCCTTTGATTGCAAATAGGTAAAATCGGATTGTTGAAGATTGTCGGCCACTAGAAACAAGTATATAATTGACAGTCTCTTCCCAACCAGCATTTCCAACAACCAGATTCAACTGCAGCTTGATTAGAAGTCTAAAGTGGGGTCGATGCACGTCAAACGGAAGTCCTTCTCTGCTTGCAAGAAGAGAGAAATGAAGGGATTTGAACCCTTGATTGAGTCTCTAACTCCAGATCCAACTGGGACGCTGCCACTTGTTCACACAGCCTGACCTTGTAGACCTTGTATTCACGGGCCAAAGCGGCACTACGTGCTGATGTGTGGCATAGCCTACGTGGCCTGTAACGAGCGGAACCTGAATGTCATCTCATCCCAGAAGAATGGACTTGATGAAGTAGACCCCGGTGTCCCAACTAGCCTAACAGCACGTTCAGTCAAGCAGCAAACCATGGCGGAGAGTTTGATCCGATCGCATGCAGTTTGCCGTTCGATTCCAGGAGCAGTATGCCAATTTCTACCATACAGGCGTGTTCTTACACAATACAGAACGGGACACGTCTTCTTAAGAGCACAATCCTAAAACAGGGCTATTACCAACCTGTTGAAAATTGTTCACTGATGGACTTTCTGTCGCAGTACATAGAACGATTAATTTAGTTAACATTGTTATAACGAGCAACTATCTTCAACCAAGGATGGTGAAGCTAGTCTAGGTCAAAAGAAAAGAGAGGTGCACTGTGGGGGATTTGAACCCCCGACTGGGTCATTTGATCTTTCCACCTCCTTGGGGACTTGTCGGATGCTTGACACACAGCGCTCGAAGATCAAGGGACCCACGGAGACTCTATGGTCTCCGCGGAAACTCTATTGGTCCCCCCACGCCGAAGCTCTGCATGCTGGCAAGCGACGCGCCCATATGAGCATAACACGATCGCGGCGAACACCAGGAGAAAGAAACGTGTTCGGTCTCCAAGGCTGGAAATCAAGAACCAGACCCCGGTTTACCACTAGCCTAACAGCGCGTGATTAAAGGATCATTGGCAATCTAGCGATTTGACTGCTGAACATGATGTCTGTTGTTCGATCCCCAGCTTGACAATCTAGCTTTCATATGACTGGATTTGCTTATTTGTTGATGAGGTCTCCAGGAGCCCGCGTTCCGGGATCCAGTATTGCAGTAAATTTATAATAATGTGAAAGATTTCAACAAGCTTAACAATAAGCAACAAACCACACACTGAAACCAGGTTAGGGGTAGGCCCCAGGACTTTTTTTTTTTTTTTTAAAAGTGCTATTGATTTCACATACATACCGCACTATGATCTATGACGTTAATCTATATACAACTGTATCCTGCAAGTGCATAATCAATGCCGCACCACATTTGGCCCCAGGACTTGGCCCGGGGTCTGAGGGTCATCACAAAGGAAAGCCTCTCAAACGGAGGTCGGGGACCCCGCGCGGAGCGCTCTCCGTAGGAGAGGCTTATGAAGTAGGACATGAAAGAGCTGGCAGGCATGGGAGGGATATTCAAGCCAAAAATGCCTTTTTTATTTTCTTAAAAAACAACAACTAGTTTTCAGAAAAAACCAGATAGACTGTTTTCACCGGTGTGTTGATGCACACCTTCTCCCAGGTACTTGAAACCCAAACTCCAGAAATATTTAAGGAACCCATCTTGAAGGTCAATGAGCTTGAGTGAGGAGGATATAATTCCAAGGCTTTGAAAATTAATACACAAATTTTCAGGCAATATTCCAGTTCTGAAGATCAAATTAACAGGATTGATATCAATCTGAAAGGTCCATGGAATCTTATGCCTAGTGTTGCTCAGAGTAGCAACAATAAGTCTAACCAGCCTGAATGGTCACCAGCAACCCCACCAAGATGTCACCCTGCAGGAGGCCTTCCATCATCAACAAAAAAACTCCTCAAAAATCCACACCAATCAATCCCCCTCAAACAAAGGTCATCCAGAAGGTTTGCTTCTGTCACCAAAAGACTTTCACCAAAAGAAGTTGGACCCAGCCTCAGTTTACTCAAAAATGCTTCACATCAACTGATCCCTGCCAACATTCCCAAAAAGTTTCTGGATTATGATGATGATTGACTGAAGGATTTAATCAAACAAGGGTTGCTTTTGAAATACCAGCAAGAAAAGCAAGCCACTCCAAGTGAAGACAGTCGTGAATTCAGTTCATGGTTGTAACACTTTCCTCCTTGCAGCAATAGGTTTTGGAAAATCTAGAATCCCTGAAATGTACCTGAACCTGACAACAAAGAATTGTAAGGGAGAATTACTAGGTGTTGTCATTGTCTTGAACCCTCTCAATGCACTTGGCTACAATCAAGTGGAAGAGAAAATCACAGCAGGATATTCTGCAATAAACCTAAACCAAGAAAACTTCAATTTTGAAACTGCAATTTACGTTCAGAGAGGGATCTACATAAATGAACTTTGTATACCTTAGTCCTGAGATTTTTCTCAATAACCAGATATTCAAAAATGTCTATTTCTCACCCAAGTTCCAAAGCAAACTGACAATAGTTGTTGTCAATGAAGCGCACATGATTTATTCATGGGGCTTGGTCAAAAGTGGGAAGCACCATTTAAAATCACTAGTTCAACACCAAGACCAAGGAATTTGTTGTCCCTGCTATGGAAATATTGGGGCTGCCCTGCTGAACAAAAATAAAGCAACAATCATCTTGATGTCAGCTACATGTCAACCAACAGCAATTGATGTGATCATACAAAGTCTGAAAATAGTCAAGACCAATATTGACATTGTTCAAGGCAAACTTACCCTAACCCACCCTTAAATCTGCATCATTCAAATCCCAATGTCCAGCTCACTTTCCTCATGCAAGGATCTATTTCAGATAAATCCTTTGGAGGAGCATACACCAACCAATCAGCTGGTACCATCTTTAATCTACTCAGTTACTTGACACATAATGTTGAAGGTGTTAGAGGTATTGGATGAAACACAAGGTACACCAGGTCAACATCTAGTCCCTGGGAGCTCTTTTGCACATCTTTATCATTCCTGTACTGGGTAATTAGACAAGCAGGACTGCATTTCCAACTTCAGTGCAAGGGGTTCCCTCTAATCTCATGTACTCTGGTCCTTGGAAAGGGTTGGAACTGGAAGGCTGTCCAACAAGTAGCTCACCTTGGTTGGGGTGACCCTTCTCTTATCTGTCAGATGATTGGAAGAGCTGGTAGGGATGGTAATCCAGCTTTTGCTGTCCTGTTTATGGAGCCAACCCAAAGGGGGGGGATAAAGTAAATTGATAATCACACTCCCTGCAATTCCCCGTCCACCCACAACCCCACCCCTCCTGCTCGAAAAGGGACATGCAATCAAACCCACCCGTCTTTAAGGGGAAGGTTTGATCACATGCCCCTTGGAATCCTGTTTTTCCAAGACCTCTTGGGGGGCGGAGCTTGCAACCCCTCAGTTATGTTGCCCGCCAACTGACAGGTTGTCCACTGAAAATGCCACTGTGAGGCAGGCCGGTGTCAATGCCAGAGCATCTATTCAATTGTTGTCTGAGACATTGGCACCAGTTTTGCACTCATCAATTGAATTTATCCACGTGCGTTGATAAACGCACACCCTCCAACTCCCTGCCCCTCAGAGACGGGAGAGTGCGATTGCACACCCCTTTTGGAGGGGCAGGGAGTTGGAGGGTGTGCGTTTATCAACGCACGTGGATAAATTCAATTGATGAGTGCAAAACTGGTGCCAATGTCTCAGACAACAATTGAATAGATGCTCTGGCATTGACACCGGCCTGCCTCACAGTGGCATTTTCAGTGGACAACCTGTCAGTTGTGTTTCTTGGTATATTGAGGTGAGACATTGCTAATCTGGTTGTTGGGTTGAAAATCACAGGATTGGCTACATTCCTGTTAGTTTTAATGATTCTTCCTATGTGAAAGAGGTTGCACACAATAAAAAGATGAAGTTAACTATATGCATGTGCTCAAACTGTAAGTAAAAATTGGGAGAGCTCTTGGTAGAAAACTTTAAAATCATCAATCACTCAAGCTTCTCCAACTACATATTGAGCCGAGTCGATATGTTGACAATCCCAGCTTTTTGTAACAATACAAAGATTACGGCAAAGAAGAATAGAGTTCCCCAGCTTAAATTAACTGGAGATCAAGTTGAAACACTTAATACAATTCTCACACAAGGCTTTCAGGACTTCATCAAACAGAGTGTAGGAACAGGTGGAACCATTGTTGCTAGACAATTTTTTGGAAATGAAGGAGCTGAGTTGATTGCCAAGAACATTAATGAAATATGTGATGAAGATGACATGCAATGAGTGATTGTTGGGGAGGCGTTTGAAGGGCAGATCAAACTGTTGATGGGATCAATGGAGAGCTACTTAATCAACCAATTGAATAACACAAAAAAAATACAATTCACCTGTAAACATTGCAATTTATCCAAAAATGTTACACACACAGGACCATTGAAAATTCATAACACTTCAGGTCAATCCAAACCATTGAGGTTTACTACTGAAGAAGTGCAGATGCAGAGGGCAGAGAGCAAGCAATTGCAAGTGGAGAAGAGGAGACAAAAAATTGAAGCATATTCAGTCAGTGAGAAGCAAAAGTCAGCTCAGCTGCGCATCATGAGAGAAGTCAAGGAGTAATATGGCTTACCAGCATGATCAAGAGCTTGTAATTACTGTTGTGCTCATCCATTTGGACATCATCTTTTGGGTCTTGACCATCTGATAACTTGCCATATGCCATGTGTTGTCGAAATTGGGACAGCTGTGGGTCACCTCAATATTCTTTCTGAATTTTTGGAAACCCACACATAAATAAATCTTCAACTTTTGCTTCTTTATCCTTTGGCTTTTTTTTGTTTTTCATCAAATACATTGTAGTTGTTTGCCATTCAAACAACAAATAACACCTTGACCCATTTCAAATCTATCTCCTACCCTTACACCCTTAGCTTACATTTATTTTTTTAGATGCCGTTTATCTTTATATTTATATATTGTGTACGGCCATCTATATCCTATCCTCTCCCATATCCCCCCTTTGCGGTAGTAGATTTTTATATCTTTACTTTTATATACAGCTTACACAAAAGGAGAAGATATGTTAATCTAAATGTGATTGAACAGGTAGCATGTTGTAAGCATGGAATGGTGTTGGACTGTATGGTGTCCATCAAAGCACCTGGGAGCATGATGCTCTTGTGTGACTGAGTGAACATTGCTGCACCACTCTCCAGTCAAATAGAGTGCAACATTGCTTGCCACCTGCTGGGGAGGAAAGACTTGTGTTGAGTTAGAAAAGGACAAACCCAAGGTTGACACAAAGCCTTTTTGTTAGGGGAGGGTGCAAGTGAGAGCCCATTGGATGTGTCCTTCTTTTCTCATTCATATTTTTCCTTATCTTTTTGACTAATGTTGAGAAGGAATTTGAACATACCCTTTATCCAACATGAATGTGAATAAACAAGATAAAATCTTATTTCCTAACATAACTTTGGCTTGCACCACCTGAGAACTCCATCCTTTCAATCACACCTTGTACAGTTTGGTGGTTGGTAGTCACCAGCAATCAAGATAGCAGCAATTTAACATAAAAGAGGCAAAACTGAGAAACCAAGAGAAGGAATGAGATCAAACTGAGTGAGGAGCAGAACAATAATCAAAGTGATGCTAATAATTTTGGAGAGAACTCTTATACACAAGAATAATTTATCAAGGGGCTTGGTCAAGCAACTCCTAAGCCCCTGAATCCCCAAAATTTGGGAGTCAAACCCCCAAAATCCTTGGCTGGTTTGGGATTCAACTCTCCAGAAATTACATTACAAAAAAAGAAAACACCTGATTGGCTTGAGAGTTGATCCTCCAAAACCGACCAGGGTTTGGGGGTTGATGAGCCAAAAGACCCTCACAGAAGAAGCTGGGAGGCTTCCTCCTGGATGATGAGAGTACACTCTTGATGGCCGGGAGTGTACCTCTCAGCCTTCAAGAGTGTACCTCTTGGCCATCAAGAGTGTACCTCTTGGCCATCAAGAGTGTACATCTTGGTGTCCAAGAGGAATCCTCTTGGTTGTAAAGGTTATACACTCTCAACGGCCAAGGGAAACCACCTTGGTTGTCAAGGTGTACACTCTCAACGGTGGAGGGAAACCACCTTGGCTGTCAAGGTGTACACTCTCAACAGCCAATAAATTACCTCTTGGCCATCAAGGTGAACACTCAGCAGCCAAGAGAAAGGAGCCCTCTCAATTGTCAAGGGTGTACACCTTGAGTCCTTGACGGCCAAGCAAACTTTTTTGCTGTTGAGAGTGTACACCTTGATGGCCCAGGGGAATCCTCTTGGCTGTCAATTCCCTTGGCCTTTGAGAGTGTAGTGTATTCCCTCAATGGCCAAGATGATTCCTATTGGCCATCAAGGTTTACACTCTTGATGGCCAAGAGGTACATACTTGGGAGGAATCCTCCTGGCCGCTTCTGTAGGGGTCTTTTGGCTCATCAAACTTCAAATCCTGGTTGGTTTTGGAGGATTGAATCCCAAACCAACAGGGGGGGTTTCTGTTTTTTAATATAATTATTAGCGAGTCAAGTCCCAAACTAGTCAAAGGTTTTGGGGGTTTGCCTCCTAAATTTTGGGGATTCTGGGGCTTGGGAGTTGGCTCTCCAATTTTTGGGAGTTTTCAACCAAACCCCTTCATCAACTGGAATTTTTACAGCCACAGGAGGAATTTGCTTTCAAATCTGTGGGTCCCCCAGTTTTGATTGGGAGCCTGAAAAGCTAGATTTCCCTGCAAAAATCTAGAATTTTTGGTTCTGAATTGAAAATTGAATATTTTTCAAGACCAGGATTAAGAAAGGAGGAGAAGTGACCAGAAGAAGAATTTTGCAAGAGGGAACAAAAAAGGGCAAGAGTGCCTCTTTGAGGGATTTAAGCTGCTAGATTGTGAGGTGAAAAAGCATTCTCACTACAAGTGGCTGTATGAGTGGCCATAGGGATTGGAATCAGACAAATAAATGGATAAAAGAAGGGTCTTAGCTAATCGACTCCCAAAAAGTGGAGGATCGACTCCCAAACCCCAAAACCCCCGGAATTTCCACCAAAATCCCTGAGGAATGGGAGTCAATCCCCCAAACCCGTCAGCGGGTTTGGGAGTCGAAAAACCAATGATTTTAATAAAAAAAAAGCCACCCCCCGAAGGAGATGGGGGTCGATGCCCCAAAACCCACTGGGTTTTGGGTGTCGATTACCAAAAAGAGCCCGCGACGCCCGGGAGAATTCCTCCCGGCCGCTGATGGCACACCCTCAGCGGTCAAGCGAAACACTCTTGGCCGCTGAGAGAGTACACTCTCATCGGCTGGGAGAAACACTCTGATCTGATGAGAGTGTACACTCTCATCGGCCTCTGAGAGTGTACACTCTCAACGGCCAAGAGAAACACTCTTGGCCAATGAGAGTGTACACCCTCAACGGCCGGGAGAAACCCTCTCGGCCGTTGAGAGTGTACACTCTCATCGGCCGAGAGGAACACTCTTGGCTGATGAGAGTGTACACTCTCATCGGGCAAGAGAAACACTCTCGGCTGATGAGAGTGTACACTCTCATCAAAACCCTCCCGGCCGTTGAGGGTGTACACTCTCATTGGCCGAGAGTGTT